CCGCCCTTTCCGCCACCCTTTCCACCGCCCACCGAGGTGGAGAAAACCCTCCGGAGCGTGTCGCTCTTCTTCTTGTCCTGCACATTGCCTGCGTCTTCTTCTTGTAGCTTCGGACCTGGACTGTTGTCGCTGTCCGAGTTCTCTGGGGATGTTGTCCTCGTTTGCGGCAATCTTGGTCTGGGGGGTACCCTGTCCACATGGATAATGATTGTGAAACTGGTTCATGGATAGTATTATAATATAGGTAACTATTTATTTGGAAGATTTAAGAATGAAGCGGAGGCGATCTAACCTGTTTGTTTACAAATCTAATCGAATACTACAAAAGTGTAATTCCTTACCTGGCGACTTGGATATGACTGTTCCTCACCGACACCTCGGACTCGCTATCCGAATCCGAGCCAGCGGCGGTTACACGTGAACTGGATCTCCTCGATTTCGCTTTAGTCGGGCTCTTCTTCTTCTCCTGTTTCTTCGGCGAGTCCGCGAGTTTGTTCCTCTTAATGGAGACCCTCCTCCAGCGCGAGGTATCGTCATCGGAGGCACTATTATTCTTCCTGGTCGGCGTGGTCTCTTCCTCGCTGGAAGAACCGCTCAGACGCGACCGTCTCTTCTCGTTCACCGGGGCGACCACGGGCGACACTCTGACCGGTCGATCGCTATCGGAATCGCTGGAAGCACCCTGGGGGGATCTGTCGTCGCTGCCATCGTCGCTGGTAGCGATGGTAGGCTTCGAGATCGGTTGCTTCTTCTTCATCGGGCTGCCCACACCTCTCGTTCTGCTGCGAGGTTTCCCATTCTTGATACTCTCCTCGGACGTACGGTGGCTAGCCTTCGGGCTCTTCGTCGGTTTTCTGGGTCGTCCTCGTTTCCTTGCGTCGGCCACCTTTGGTTTCTCCGTGGGCGCACGAATTTCCTCGACAGGTTGAATCTTCTCTTGGTCCGAGTGATGATCGCTGTCGCTGAGTTTAGTTATCAACGAGTCGGTGTGCGTCCTCTTCAAGGCCTCGTCTAGCTTCCTGTCGTGACCGGGCTTCTCCCAGTGCGTCCTCGCGTCAGCTTTGAAGGCCGGGGAGCTCTCTCGCCTGTTGCAATCCTGGTGACACATACAAATGTCCCTATTAAAAATCGAATCCTCCGACAGGAGATCGGTTTAACCCCTTGCCTTATAACATGAGTCATACACGTGATGACGATTTCACTCTGCATTTAATAAACATTTTCCCTGAACTGAAACTGCCACAAGAGTAGAATTCCTTATGTATCCGGGAAATCATTAATAAAAAAAAAA